TGCATTTAAGTATGTGAACAATTATGTCATGATGATTTGTAACTTCTTTATCAGATTCAGCACCAAGGGACAGCTTTTATGTTGAAAAGAATTGTTTATTTAGTAACTGATGTCCCCATCCATTTGAGAAACTTTTCAAGTAATTGTGTTGTTTTCCAATTTGTTTTTATCCTTATTCATAATTATCTGCATATCTGCTTGGTATGTTTATAACATTTTATTCCTTTTTCTTTTTAGATCCCAAATTATATTTTGAACAACATGTGTTTACTTTATAATAGCATATATGCTATTTAATTTTTTTTTTATTTTGCTGAAAAAATATTCCTTAAATGCATTGTTCTTCGAGTCAATGTAAAAAAATTGACTCTTCTTTCTATCCATAAATTAAATAATAATACACTTTTTCAGAAAAGTTGGGTATTTAATATCCTGTTGGACTGTTTTCTATTTTAACCTTCCTATTCCCAGTGCAATCGAACAAAGTTATTATTAGAAATAAATGTTTTATTACTAATCCCCACTGTTAGTTTAATACATACTGGTAATCTGAAAAACAGCAACTTAGAGTTTGGGTCTAATCAGTCCTTCTAATCTAGTTTGACCAACACACAGCCATTTTTATTCCTGGAAAACTTTTATTTAAAGGTACCATATATCAACTGTATTTTAAATTCTGTCTGCATAGACTGATTTCAATATCGACATATACATAAAAAATGATATATTATTCATAATAATTTAATATTATAAATTTCCATAATGTTATTGTCTTCCTCAGGACTACAGAAGAACAATTAGTTGCCATAGTTTTAGTGTTACTCAAAATACCGAATTCTGTTGTAAATTCGCCCAGGGCCGTTAAACGGCAGTTTGGGTTTTTAAAAAAATAAAATGGGACCAAGTAACCGCCCAGGGCAATAGAATAAACCCACAGGTACACAGCCGCTAAGTAGTAAACAAGAGACCACATGTTGGTCTCACTTTTAACCCAGGTGATCAAACAGGGAGCACCTGAAAAAAAAATATTTAAAAAATTTCATTTTGTCTATGCAAGGCTTTTAAGATTAGTGGCATGAGATCTACAACATCACCAAATCACTTCCGTGCGGCGTTTAATATAACATTAACATATTTAAATGAGCTATGGTAATTTGAACACGTTGGCATCATCCATCGTTTTCATTGGTTAATTATCGATTTGACCTTTCAGTTCAAAGAACACCATTTCAGGTCAAAACATGGTGGATATTCATTTCTACAGCATCGAGCATTAAAAATGCGATCAGAATCGATGAAATAAGTTGAAATTTATTTGCATTTCATAACAACTCAATGAATTTATTTTTGGAACGTTATTATAATCATTAGGTAATAATCAACAATTGTAAAACGCAGCATAACCGGATTCCGCTACCGCGATCATTTGCTACTAAGCAATGCAGTTATGTTCTTTGTTATTTGAAACTTCTTTTAGAATATACTTTCGTTACTAATAAAATGAAACAAAATAATTGTATTTGGCGCACGAGGTTCGTTAATGTGATTTTTTTTTGGAGAAAGATGCATGGTCTACTTTTTAATACAGCTAGGAAAAAACGTATGCAATTTTATTTTTAGATTAGCTTCTGCAATAGTTTCTTTTGTTTTGGGTGGTCCAACTGCCGGTATATGAAAATATAAGCCCCCTAAAAATAGGGGCTCACCAGCCGTGAAACCGCCCAGGGCGATTTTTCGGATGGGCAAAATTACGACAGAATCTGATTTATATTATTTCCTGCCACAACTTCTAAATCCTGAACACCAAATTCTGGGTGGGGTGAAGGGTGTCTCAATTCCCTTATTTAAATAGTACAAGTGTAAGGCTAGTATCAATTAACATAGTTTTTTCAACCAAGTGCAGGTTAATTCTTTAGAAGGGATGGTGTGACAGGGATGGACTAGATATATAATTTCACCTCTCCTATCTGTTCCACAAAAGTTAACTGTATATACACTTCTCAACAGATCGGTTGTCAACTCCACCCCCACCCCACCCCTCTAAACAAAATTAAAAATATAATTTAGAGAAAACACACATTGGGAAAATGTAGCTTGTGCACGAGCAGCCCAGGTACACAATGAAATATTTTTCTCACAAATCAAAGCTATCATATGTTGAGCCCTGTCGCCGATCAGCACGGATGTATTTTGCAATTACCGGTATTACCTACTTATAATGTTAATAGCTGAGAATGATTGCATACAATAGAATGAAATTTAAAAAAAAAAGTAGATGATCGACTTTAATATTGTAATACCGAAGGTTGTTATGGTGACTGTCTTGTTTCTACAGTAACATCCCTTGTAAGTTGTATATTTCCAACTATTGGTTTTAAGTCAAACCAAATGAGAAAGGTTTCCGATATGGATTATCAAGGTACTTATAAACATCATAGATAAATATGCGGCATGTTGTTCTGCTCGCTGCTAGTGAATGCATTCAACTTGTTATGTTACATGTATACATGCACCTTAAACTAAAAGTTAAACAGCGTTTCAAACTTAGCTTAGATACCTGATTACAAGTGTATTAATTTCACTTTACAGATTTGAATTCCAGCTTTTAATTGTCAATCTACCGCGATTTTAGTTGCTGAACTTAAGTTTAATTTTTTAACAATATGTGAGTCTTTGACATAATTTATCATAAAGTTAGCTTTACATTTTTTGAAGAGTCAATAATTAATAAAACACTAAATGAGAATTATTACTGTCATTGCCACATTACCAGGTAGCGTGTAAGTATTGCCATTAAATACCACAAAGCTATTCAATGTAATTTCAGTGAATTGAATATTATTATCGAGTAGATCAATGACATTATAAAATACTTCATACCTCAATGATTTTGCACTATAAATATTTCATCTAACGAGAGACTATGAGGATCAATATGAGACCATGTCTGAGTTTAGTCAGAGCAATTTATCGCTTCTTATTAAAAACAATATTTTATTGGCAATAACTTATATAATAATCCTAACACTAACACTTGAGGCCTGTTGTAATGTGAGCATATTTCACGTATTTATTTGTTGCATGGATCTCACATTGCTTGTGATATATGCCAGTATACAATATTTACGCTCCATAAAAGCCATATTTGGGTACCATCTGTGATACATTATGTCACTTTGCAATATCAGACCAGCAGCCATGGACATGAATGGTTTAGAAATGTTAACGAATTTGTTCACAATTAAATATTAAGGTTGTTGAAATATCATATTTGATCTATGAATATATTTGCACTTTTTATAATAATGAGAGCTGCGTGCATGTGATCAAAATAAGTCATATTTTAATGATTCACTATTCACTGAATAAAGTTTTGGTCTATGTGTACTGCAACTAAAAATATAATAATATTATCAAATTTTATACAAAAAACAAAAAAAAATACTTCAGGCATGAATGCACATACATATAATCAGTCAATGTACTGTTATTTAAGATCAACTACTTTGTATTTCTGTGATGTCATTCTTTATTCAGGTTTGGGGCATGGAGAATATAAAACCCATTAAGAATGATTGAATTTACTCCCAGACCATATTGGAGACGAGGGCATGCAACCAATCTACATGACATAGTTGGCAATTTATTATCGTTTTGTATATTTTCTCTATTAGAAGTTTCTATACAATCAAATTACGTCATGTTTTCATCATGTTGCATAGATCATAAACACAATTTTTGATTTATGTGCATTTCTATTGAAGATGTGCTTCTAAAAAAGGTAATAGAGCGTTATTGAAATTCAATGTAAATTTGTAGCATGATGTTTATCTTGATTAATTGATCCAAAAATTCAGTTTTTAAATAAAACAGAATAATGATAATGAACATTTTATGAGTACTTAACTATAATGAATAAATAAACCAAACTAAATATGGCTGTAATCAAGTTGATGGTACGCCCCCCTTTGTTGTTGCCATGGTTACATGTATGTTTATTTATAGAAATAGCAACCATTGTTTATTGAACTTTTCACCCGCATTGACGGGATAACAATAGATGCAGTCAATTAAATGTTTTTATATTGTGTGTACTGTAAAATCGTGTAGTGTAATGGAATCAGTGAGAGCACTCTTTGTTATTACTTTCTCCCTCAACGCAATGAACGACAAGGCTTTTTCAGACTTAACAATGGTATTAGTTATCTACCTCAATGGTATAACACCGAACGAAGATGACTCACTTAATTGGGGCCTTTTTTGACTATAATTCGTGATATCGCCAATAAAGTACAATGCTTTGAATAGAATATGTATTGTACATGTAATAGATAATGCAATGTTATATAAGTGTTTATATGTATATGCAGGTTATGAGTGTTTGCTACAAACCTTCAAACTGTGAATGATCAAACTGCCAGTTCGCTCCTACTAATTCCTCTTCCATACAATATTACTGTTGGTTTTAAAATGAAATAAAAAGTGTCACAGTCACTGCACCGATGCCCAAACTATGTTTTTATAAATGTTTCAGACATTGCAGGGTGCCCATATCCTATGTGCAACAATAGTGGAGCTTTTAATATAATTATTAATACCTTGATATTTCACAGTCTGATCATTTTACAAACTTATGAGTAATGAGCATTTGTTCAGTTAGTAGCACATGTGTTTACACTAAAAGACCTAGGTGTGTATATTGTTTCAATAAGTCATATTATATTGATCCAGTACATAATCTATGGTTTATTTGCACTTCTGTTAGAGATAATAGTTTTATTAAAGGGTGGTAGTCATCTCGCAGTGTGTGTTCAAATATTATGTAAACAAACAATGTATTTTACACATGCTCTGTATTGTCTGTTGCATCCTTAAAATATGACTAACTTTGTCCTTTGACACACCTCATTTTATAATCAAGCATATATAATATGTTGATTTAAATAATTATAGTAGTCTTCTCTTAATTTTTGAAAGTCACATTTCTTAATTCATTTCAGGTCACATGATGGATTCACTGAGTCAGCAGATGGTATTTTAGAAGGTAAACCAGGAAGTAAATATGCATCTCAACAAATTGTATTTGATGACCTTGGACAAGGCGTATTAGATAATGCATTTAAAGGTATGTAGTTAGAACATGTCTGCTAGGAAACAAATGAGCATCTCTTATGAAATGATGCAGGGTATGTTTCCAGGACTAGATCATTATTTCTGCAGGGGTGGCTTAAGTTAGAATCAGAGGATGCCCATTATTTATGCGGGATAGCTTTGGTAGAATATGGTACATTATTATTTCTATAATTATTTTGAATCAAAAAGGTGTTCAGGGGTAAACCATTCTTTCTGCAGGAATGACTTTGTTATGATTCAGGGCTGGAGTAATATATGACTGATCTAAAATTTGCTGATTTGTGTTGTTTTGCAGGATTCAATTGTTCTCTGTTTGCCTATGGGCAGACTGGATCTGGAAAGTCATATTCCATGGTTGGCTATGGGAAAAATAGGTAAATGCAATGGTGATATGTGTTATAGTCAGCACTGTGTATCTGTTGTGATGTCATAAAGTTTAGCCATTCTTTGGTGTGTAGTATAGTGATGTCATACAGTATAGCTAATCATCAGTGTGTGTTGTAGTGATGTCATACAGTTTAGCTGATCATCAGTGTGTGTTGTAGTGATGTCATACAATTTAGCTAATCATCAGTATGTGTTGTAGTGATGTCATACAATTT